GAATATGTATTTTCCGGACCAGTTAACTTGCAAAAATCATTTGACGACCTTCCCGATTGAATTTTTGGCTGAAATTTGGTATGGATAAACTAGACTTGATGAGGAACATACACAAAAAATTTGAGCAAAAAATACAACCGGGAAGGCCCCCAAAAGGAGGAGGCCGGACGGCGGCTCCGGTCAGGTATACCTGACCGGAAGATTACTCTATATATATAATATGATATGTATATATAATGTACCATATAAATGGGACATTATAGAGGAGTCAGGAGTGATACGCTTCTTCTTAGATTGGATGAGTGCATGACTTTGAAGAGAGCATAGTGGAGGGCGGGTATTGGTGTGGCGGATTGATCTCTTATCATCTTTTCCCCCTTTATCTCTTCTTTATCTTTCTTATGTTTTTATCCTTTAATCCTTTACTTTAGATATATGTGCGAAGTCTATTCTTTTTATCTTTTTTATCTTATCAGTTTTATGTATATTTGATCTCTATTTTTTTGTTATCTTTTTATCATACCTTATCTTTTTATCTTTCTTTTCCTTTTGGCTCCGATATCATGTATAGATTCAATGATTCATATTTGCCGACCTCAAATCTTTTAGGACTAAGGCTTGGATGTTGTCATAGTATATATACTGTACCAACTACCAAGTACTCAATTAAGCTTGTCAAGCTCTCAAGCATTGCGAAAACAAGCTCGAACTCAACTCGAAAGCATTTACGAGTAACCTGATTGAGCTCGAGTCAAGTTCAGATCATGCAACGGATTGAGCAGCTTGCTTTCTATTCATGTATTACTTGAATTTTTTGCATCCCTGACTCTATGCCTTCCATAGTTCTAGGTGGATTAACATATCATATTGATCTTCATAAATCATTAATTCATAGGCTCTTACCAGATGTATATTCTTAGATGTGATATTTCCATAACTTTCATAGGATGTATTTACATTTAACCATATTTTTTTTATCTTTGCCTCTAACAGTGGGGACCCATTTCAGTTCTTTTTTCATGATGTGTTTGTGCGGCAATGCCTCCTTTTGACTAAGTTAGATGTTTCGGCTGTTCATAGTTATGTCTCTGGTGGGCGATGACAGTTCATTATATATGTTTTCAAGGACTTGGTGAGAAGCTGTTCTATCTCCATCCAAGGTATATTTGCACTTTTAACAATCATCATCTCTGTCCATTATATGTGTGTGTGGAGGAAGCAAATTTGATAGAGATTTGACTAATATGAAGAGAGGAGATAATTACTTTAATAAAGTGTATTCTAGAAGGACGTAGGGTCTGTTATTAGTTAGTCTGTTTTAGCTAATAACTACCTGTTGTTAGAAGTCCCTACTATAAATAGCATACTTTGGGAGGTTGTAGGCAGGCTGTTTTTGACTTGTAGTCTGGATTGGGAGATCAGAGTTGTACCTCTATCTTGTTGCCTAAGAAATAAAAGTTGCCCTACATTCTTGATTCAATCGTGTGTTCTGTTAGATTATAATCTGCAGGTCTAACAAAATTTTGTTTATTTTTTATTGGTTGGCTCTTCAATATTTGGTGATGTTTTTTTATTTCTTAATAACGATGACAAGGTGTTAAGGGCCTTGGTACAAGATCTGGTCCAAGGCTGTTGTTGATGAAAGGGGGATTTGAAGCGTGGGAATAAAACCCCTAACTTCCTGCCCTGGTCAAGAAAGATGATCCCTGGTTCCACCAGCAAATCAAGAAATCAAATATTCCAAACTTAGTATTTTATTCGAAGTGATAACTGATAAGCCATATATGGGCAGAAATCAGAATCCTAAACAATAATAGGAAAGAAATCTGAACTATTACCCATTCATGAATAAGAGACTTGCCTAAAAGTCGGAAAGCTAAATAAATGGCATCAACTAGAATCAGGAAAGCAAAACAAAAGGAAACAACTAGAATAATTAAAGAGAAATAATTACGATAGCTTGTGAATCAATTAGAGCATCTTCAATGCAACAATGTGCACGGTGCACCATGGAATGAGAGATATAGACACATAAAATTAGATTACCGGAGTTTTCTCTCTCTTTCCACGGCTTTCTGTATTTTTAGTTACTTTTTATCGATAATTTCAAACTCAATGTCTACGTCTAGACGTTTTCCTTCACATTGTGGAGAAAAAGTACCAAAAACTGACAATGCCTTTAAATAAGGAGAGCGAGACTACATATATCATTTTTTTATATATCTATCCCTCTCATGTCACATGTGCACCGTACACAATTGTTGCATTCAAGATTTCATTTTTATGCACTGCTGGTACATAGGACCAAAACAAGGTGTATCAAAAGGCAAAGGGAACTATAATGACTGGTTGTGTAGTTCTGGGTTGGTGTACGGAAGAGAGAAAGCTGGAGTTTTTTAAGAATTAGGTTAACTGACTGCATTTTCTTGATGCACAATCTATTTGAATTATTATATATTGTATTGTATTGTAATGAGATGGTCTCTGAGTTTTTGGCTGGTGTGTTCAGTTCACTGACTGGTACCTAACATTTTGTTATATCTGGCACTGGCAGGTCAAATATGAGTCCGTTTATCGTACTGGGATGTTGTTGGAGTAACACACTAATCATCTGAGTTTGGAGACTGGGAGTAAATGTATTGATGTAAATAAACCCCACCCCATGAATTAAATTGTGCATGTAACATTGCTAAGCATGTCTTTTTATTCAGCAGTAAGGTAGTATATATTCCAATACTTTGATCCAATAATGATAATAATAATAATAATGAGATTGTCATTGAGATTAGTTGAGCCGAAAGAATGACAAATGAAATCTTATATTCATGAAGAAGTGTCTAGAATTTTTATAATGCATATTGTAAACAACCTAGCTTGCCTCATGTACTAAGAAGAAAAAATAATAATCAGAAATGATGACTTACAATTATGATGATTATTTGTTTAGTGGATATTGTGACATTTTTTTTTTAATTTTAGAGTGAAAAAGTTCAAATTGTTGGTTCATTAATAAATGGGGTGATATGTTTAGTAAGGGTCACTCGACTCACTCTAAGGAAAATATGTTTGTGTTAGTAAGCAATTTTTATGAAGTCTATGTATTTACTTAACATATCTTACTAACCTAACTGTGTATTTAGTAGTGAAATAAACATGGCCATAGTATGTGAAAAAGCGGATGACAATGTTTTTATATTTCGATAAAAACTGAATTTACTTTTTGTTGACCATCTTAAGAGCCCGTTTGCGACCCTGTTTTGGCTTATCAGTTAACTTTTTAATCAAGTACGTAATTTTTTATTTGGAAAAAGGTACAAATATACCCTTGTAGTATGAGTGTGAGAACAAATATACCAATGTTCTATTTTTTGGAACAAATGTACCCCTGAAGTTTATGTGAAGGTGCATATATACCCCTGAACTCTTAAAAGATGCAAAAATACCCCTCATGTTCCTATAAATGAGCAAATTTACTCTTAATGATTTAAACAAATAAAAAATATTTTAAATATACTTAAAATAAATTATAAATTCGAAATTGAAAAAAAATTAAGATTTCAAAATAAAGATTTTGTTTTTTTATGTTAAAATATTAACTCTTTAATTTAAATTACAAAATTATTGTTTTTCCATTGTAAATGAAGCACTTAAAGTTCATAAATATTAATTTTAGAGTTGTTGCGATATTTTAAACACACTGTTACATTTTTTGAAGAACGTTTTTTTATTTTATTTAACCTAAATAAAATTAAATTCACTATTTTGTAATATTGGACTATTTAAAATCTTTGTGATTTTATAGTGCAAAGAATAAAAAAGATTAACACTTTCCCGAAAGAATCTTAAATATATAGTAAAGTTTTGAAATAATATTTTATACTAACAATATTAAATTGTGATAAAAAACAATAAAAGGGAGAATTGGCCAAAAGTAGTTTTCTATTTCTATTTTATTTTTCAATTTCAAATTTTATAGTCTATTTTTAGTATTTTTTAGATTTATTTTATCTATTCAAAGTCAATAAAGGGTAAATTTGCACTTTTATAGGAACATGAGGAGTATTTGTGCACATTTTCAAAGTTTAGGGGTATATATGCACTTCCACGTAAACTTCAGGGGTATATTTATTCCAAAAAATAAAACAGAGGTATATTTGTTCCCACACCTATATTAAAAGGGTATATTTGTACCTTTTTCCTTTTTATTTCGCGCGTTGAATTGTGTAATAATCAAAATAAGTAATGTTGAAATGTGGTGAGATCATTGTAGAAGACCGCTTTAGTTTTTTATCCAATAATTTTTTCTTTCTTTTATTAATAAAATATATTTTAAAATTAATCTTTTCATAAATCAAAAAAATTAGTCAATTCAGTCACTTCAGCTAAAATTTCATAAATTCAAGCAAAATCATACGATTCAGTCAATCCCAATGTTACCAAATGGGTTCTAAATATTTTCATATATTTTTTTCTTTATTCTATTATTAAATATATTTGAAATATAATTTTTCATAATTTATTGTATTGAATTTGTTCAATCGTTTTATCCAAAATTTTATTTTCATATTTTTATTCAACAAATTTTAGCATGTACATGTAAGATTACTAGTGATGAGATAGTCTTTATCAAATTGTTGCATACACATGTAAGATGACTATTAAAGTCTCTCATACGGAGTAGCGTGGCCGCCTCTGAAACACCGTTTTGTTTTGAAAGATCTATGGAACACCATTTATTAGAAAAGAGTTAAATAGACCTTCGAACTTACATAAAAATGTTAAATAAGACTTCATATAGAAGGTTCTGTCCGGCCGTCGTTATTTAAAGCAGTTCCTGGTGGAATTTTTTGATGATTTTTTTTGAACATCTTATTCTAAGTTTAGTTTACTCATACCAAATTTCAGCTAAAAATTCAATCGAAAAGGCATTCAAATGAATTATTGAAGATAATTGCACTTTTAACTGGGCACTTTTGCTAAGCAAAAAATTTCTTCTACGTCCTCCCCTTTTCCCTTTAACTATATTCCGTGTTAATCCTATAATCCTATTTTGGTAATAAGACTGCATTTATTACGCATCCTCCTTGTTGAGTCTTCTCCGCAGTCCTCCTAGCCCCAGCTTCCCCCTCTTTGGCTCACTGATCAGCCTGAAAGTTCCTTTACATATTTCTCAAGGTCCATTTCTTGCTTTTTATACCTTTAGTATCATATGGTTATTCACGGGTCGTATTTGTGATGCTGGTTGAGGGAAGGGCTATAACACTTTAAGAGAACTTCTGGTGAATTTAATTTTCTACTTCTTCTGGACATTCAAACATGTGATGAGGTTTACTGGAGGTCATAAGGGTGTTAAAAACCGTGAATTTATGGCTATTCTGTGGTCAAGCTTAGTGTATATATATTGGGGAGGTGGGTTGCATCTGGGTGTATATAGATTAGGGAGGTTGCGTCTGAGTTTTGATTATTTACTGTTTTGAATGTTATTATGAAAATTAGGAACTATGATTTACCTTTCAATGGCTAAAGACAATTAAACTTTTGATTGGTTGTGTCCAAAAAATAGTTTGGCATCGGCTAACCACACATGAAATTGGAGCTAAAAAAATACTCCATAAGATGAGAAATATAAAAAGATAAAGATAACATAAAAAAGATTAAAAAAAAAACTAAGACAAAGATAAAGATGATAAGATAAGAAGGATAAAAAAACGTAGTATAAGATAAAAAGGATAAAAAATACTCCCTCCGTCCCCCTAACTTTTTTCTATTTTACCTTTTTCATCCGTCCCACTAAGTTTGTCACATGCCATATTTGGTAATATTTGGTGATAATAATTCATTCTTTATTCACTCATTACCAATTTAATACCAACCACGCATTTCTACCTTTTCTTAAAAATCCCACCACGCCCCTTTGTCCCAAACACAGGGGACGGAGGCAGTATAAGTTAAAGGGGAAAAAAATGAAGAACTTAAGAATGATAAAAGGGATAGAAAGATAATGAGTGTAAACACTAAACACCCCGAACTGTAAAAACTACAGAACAACTTCTGCCGGATGAGGTTGACATTGCAGTCCAATATTTAGCTAAATCTGATTCGTTATCTTTAAATGTGTTCTCTTTAACTTTTTTTCTTCAAATTTCTGGCGTATTTTGTATCTACATTTATATTATTTACTATGATATGATCATGTAACCCTTTTATCCATAATGTCAAACTTGGTAACATTTTTTCAAAAACAATCAACATCCTTTTATTTGTTTTGAGAAACTTAAAACAAAAGCAATAGTAAAAAGCAGTATATGTTTTTGAAATTGAAAACACAAACAGAAAGTAAAAAACAGTTGCAATCCACAAGTATAAAGCGCTACAGAGGAAAAGCACGAGGAGGTAAAAAGAAAGTATTTTGATATGCAGGCTATGGATATTTCTGTTGCATTTCCTCAAGCAACTCCAGCTTCCAAGTTTCCTCAGTGCAGTAAGTCTCATGATTCACTAGCTCTCTCTTTTGAAGAATTGCACAAAATTAATTCTCCTCATAACCCTGTCAGGTCTAGTATATGCATAATTCATGCTCTCTAAAATCTTTGAGTTGCATATGCTATCATAGAATACCTTACGTCCATGTAGCCGTCTCTAGTGATTTGGGATTAATTCTCAGTTGCTATTGTCTCATGATTTGGATGAATACATTATTCGCCTGACTTTATGCAGCATTGAAGTTGTGATCTTGAGAAAAATCTTTAAACTTGCTTGGATATTTTCAATTATTTCCCTTTGTTGATGTTAAAATAGTCATTTCTCTGGTACTAATATGTATTTCATATGCCTTGCAGAATCTGACTATTATGAGTTTAATGACCTGCTTACTCCTGATGAGAGAAATCTCAGAATGAAAGTCAGAGAGTGCATGGAAAAAGAAGTAGCGCCGATAATGGCAAAGGTTTTCCTCCAGGATTATTAAACTGGGTTATACTATTATTTTTGTAATAACAATATATGGCATTATACATATGTTGGCTTGTTCTTGAAAAGTGAATTGATTGAATACAAGGTGGACCATGATATTTTTTCTTGCAGTACTGGGAAAAGGCTGAGTTTCCCTTTGAAATAATTCCAAAACTTGGTGCTTTACGCATGGCTGGTGGCACCATCAAGGTGTAACTACTTTTATTCCTAACATTTATTTTTTTACATTTTCTGATAGATAGTGCTGAATTTATTAATTTTCGTAACATAGCACATGATCTTAGACTCTTAGCAGATGATATTTCTTTTAAGTACATTTTTGTGTTATTTTTTGTAGTAATGCATGTGAAGCATAATGTGTGTGAGAATTTAGAACAATGTGAAAAAAATTAAGGGATGAAGAAAATATGGAAGCTGCATGTTTGTGTTGAGAGTCCTATTTATTAGAGGAGAAAATGTGCAAGAGTTAGTGTATGAGTGTGGAAGCCGGAAGGAAGTATAGATAATTTGTATGTATGTGTTAGAGAGATAAAATTAACTGTATTGTGGGTTATTGATAAGAAAATTTGAAGCCCAGTTTTCTCAACAGATAGTTGTGGCTCTAACTTATTGTTGGTCAGGGGTATGGCTGTCCTGGACTCTCTTTAACAGCGAGTGCTGTTGCTGTAGCAGAAGTTGCTAGAGTTGATGCCAGCTGCTCAACTTTTATTCTGGTTCATTCTTCTTTAGCTATGCTAACGATAGGTGAGTGTAATATCTGATTATAGTAAATAGTGGGCAGAATGACGATGAAGTTCTAATACTATCGTGGACCCTCAATAATAGCACTTTGCGGGTCAGAGATACAAAAGCAGAAGTATTTACCATCATTGGCCACGCTGGATACTATATCATGTTGGGTGAGAAATTCCTATCATCTGCTGTCTAGGTTCCTGCAAAGATGCATGCCTCTGTTTCTTTTTTTGTTTGGGTAGGAGGGTTGGGGTTGGACTTCTGGTTAAATGATCTGAAGTACACCTTCTGGATGTTAGGCACTTACAGAACCGGACTATGGGAGTGATGCAAGTTCTTTGAAAACAGTTGCAACAAAGGTCTACTCTTGTGAGATTTTCAATTTTAATTCCCCAACTCCCAAGAACAAGTACTATTATTGTGTATAGCATTTTCATTCACTGTATATTTTTTCTGCATATTAAATTGATAAGGTTGAAGGAGGTTGGGTCATAGAAGGTCAAAAGCGTTGGATAGGAAACGGTACATTCGCAGATGTACTCATAATTTTTGCTAGAAATGCTGGTACAAACCAGATAAATGGGTATGTTGAAAGTACATTAAGTTCCAGCTATAATGTGTTAGGATGTTCTTATTGATCAATTTCAGGGAAGCCGTCTTATGTTCTGATTTCATTTTGAAAGGGGTTTCTTTGAATACTTGTATTATTAGCTGCCTTTCAGTTCAAGATATTTTCCTATTATCTTTCTAGTAATTTTTATATAATCCTTTTTGTAATTGTTGAGAGGTTTGGTTCTGAGTGAGTCATGTGTCACTGGTTAAACAACAACCATTAATACACCTAAAATTGTTCATTTATCGATCTCCCTTTTAAATGTATATCTGTATTGGGCAACCCTTGTGCAGATTTATAATAAAGAAAGACGCACCTGGATTGCAAGCCACTAAAATAGAGAATAAGATTGGCCTGAGGCTGGTTCAAAATGCAGATATTCTCCTAAACAAAGTTTTTGTGCCAGATGAGGACAGATTACCTGGAGTTAATTCTTTTCAGGATACAAATAAGGTCTCCTCCCCATTTTTACTCAATTTTCCACCAAAACATATCTTTTCTGGCATTTTGAACTTCATCCGGACAACTTTCCTTGCCATTTCGTTTAAATTCCATGCAACGATTGTACTGTCCAGCATCTAAAATCTAAAGCCAACTGTTTTACTTGAATTTGACCCCGCTTCCAACTCGTCCAGTTGCTACTGATTATATATGCAATTGTCTTTGTGGAAACAGGTTCTTGCTGTCTCGCGTGTCATGGTTGCATGGCAACCAATTGGCATCTCAATGGGTGTTTATGATATGTGCCACAGGTATTTATGTTGTTAAGCTTATCTATCTTTCAGTTTGTGTTCTCGCCTGTGAGGAGACAATGACTCAATATAATCCCAATAGCCTACTCATATGTTGAATGATCCATGTGGAACTGAAGGTACCTGAAAGAGAGGAAGCAATTTGGTGCTCCATTAGCTGCTTTCCAGATCAACCAACAGAAACTGGTCCAAATGCTGTCAAACATTCAGGCGATGTTTCTTGTTGGCTGGCGCCTTTGCAAGCTGTACGAGAGTGGTAAAATGACTCCTGGTCAGGCGAGCTTAGCGAAAGTAATAAAACCATCCTTAAAGCTGTGGGCTATTATTCTAAGTCCGTCTGCTATATATTCTCTGATAGATGTCCTTTTTCTCAGTCCTGGATTACACTGCGGGCAAGAGAGACTGTATCACTTGGCCGCGAACTTTTAGGAGGCAATGGAGTCTTGGCAGATTTTCTAGTAGCAAAGGTTAGTATTCATTAACACGGTTCCGGACCGGGTTCAACCAGCTTTCTATCTGGAAACCAAACCAGCAACCAATTCTGAACCAGAACCAGTAGTAGACTTGTGGCTACAGAACCAAACCGACATTTACCAGTACCATTTATTATTATGATTTTCTAAATAAGCTGCGAGATGGGGTAGGTACCACTTGAACCAGAATCATCCGTCTACTCAATATAGAACAGGGCGGGAACAAGCCATGTCCACCCCTTCCATTTATGTTTTTGTTCGTTAAAAATATACTAGTAATTTCTTACAGTCTTAAGTTATATTTGCAGGCGTTTTGTGACATGGAACCAATCTACACATATGAAGGTACCTATGACATAAACACCCTAGTAACAGGAAGAGAAATCACTGGTATTGCAAGCTTCAAGCCAGCTCCTTCAAGTAAAAGGAGTCGCTTGTAATTGTTTTTCAATGTTGTTGATTGATGATCATCTATGTTCTCTGAGAAGTGTGAAATAGGAGCAGCTCTCTTCCTGGCCCTCACTCTGCTCACAGGTCTTGCGGGCACTGTAAACTGGTCAACATATACATAATAAAATAAAATAAGTTTGATAAGGGAAAAACTTTGCATTTGCTTAGAGGCAACATGTGCGCCAAGAGTTGGAAATAATGCCCATTTGAGTTTTAATTGTTTTGGTGGATGTGTTCTTTTAGATGAGTGAATTGTGTTCTCAATATGGCAGTCCATTTGTAGTCCTTCAATTATACGATTGTATTCTGTATGTCCCATGGCACTCGTTCAAGATTGTTATTCAGGTCAAATAATATTTTATCCTAGCTCTTGTTCTCATACCATATTTCTCTACATCTCTACAATCTTATAAGAGGGAATATTGTTAGGGGTATAACGGTGATAAAAAATGTGTTGGTGTCTCTTAATGCATTAAGTCATTATACACTATATTTACTTTGTTGTACATTTAACTTTCCGTTTCAAAGGAAATGTTAACGGCGACAACTTCCTTCTTTGCTTCCCGTTTATCAGTTCACGTTTCTTTTGGAATTCCATTTGCATCAAATAGCCTCCTCTCAAGACGCAGATTCAAATTTTAGAAGAGGCTGTTGGTTGTTCATCACTTCATCATCTGTACCGCAGCGTCGGTAATTCGTTAAAGATAAACTTCTGACTTTGTGGGCTAGCTTCAGCGAAAATGCGTAACTCCCACATTGGATTAGCTTTAGGAGTTTCAGAATATTCCCTAGACTAGAAGAAAAAGTTTCAGTAAAAAAAGATTCAGTGAAAAAAGTTTAGAAGAGGTTTATTGTAGAACCGGGCCAAGGCTTTAGTTGTTTGATACCTCTATAATTCATTTTCTTCCTTCTTGGCTTTCCTTTATTTATGGTTTTAACAAATTAGAATTGCGTTTAATTGTTTAAAAAAGTGGCTCACAAACTGTTTGTAAATTTGCCTAGCTTTGAGCCTATGTGTTTAAAAAAGGTGGCTCACAAAGTGGCTCTCAAAACAGCATTTTTTTTAACCTTGTATAATTTTTTTTCCCATTATTTACATGTTATTTGTGTGTAGAAAAAATGATTGACAAGATCTTATGTATTCTAATGTTCACTTTCAGAAAGTCTAATTTTTATTTCTAGAAATAAGGTCAAAACCTTATTTCTAGGTTTCAATTCCCGTGATTTTTACAAGCAGATATGGAGTATAATTTTTAGATAGAGTTTTGCCAATATCTATACTACTAAATCTTAATATTCGATCTTAAATTATGAACCTCTAAGTAATTTTTTTTTTCTGTAGTGTTGTGAAAATAATAAATAAAATAGTCATCACATAGTCATGATTCTGTATTTCTAAATGAAATGGTTATCAAAACAAATATTTCTAATCTGCATATACATTTAGTCACGATTCTTTCCTTAAAACCAGATGGATTGCTCTTTCACTATTGTGACAAAAAAAAAATACCAGGGAGTTTGGGGAACCTGACTGCTCTACTTTGTGGCTCTATTGTTAATGATGATGATTTTCCTTCCGGTTTCTTAATCTGCATGTTTCTTTCAATTTCAACACAAACACAATCAACCATTCCCAGAAAATCTCTTGTTATCACAAATAGTTGAAGTGGCTGCCATGTTTTACTTCTAAAAGCTCCTGCTTGATAGTAATCTGTTGTCCTCTCCACAAGCTCCATCACTCTTATTTGTTCTACCTATGCTGCCTTGATCTCCACTTTAGCATCGTTTAGAAACTTTTTCATTTCTGTTGCAAACCTTCCTCCATCAGCACAATCAACCATTCCCAGAAAATCCCTTGTTATCAGATGCTTGTGATGATAGCATCAAATATGTTTTAGAAATGGATTCGTAATCTATCGCTGCTGCGTTTTTCACATAGGTTAGCTCAGAACTTAGGCCACCAACTACAGGTAAACCAAATATAATGTATTCCTTCTCTTTGTCATCATCTGAGCTTGCAATACCATTGGTTGGGCTATTATCACTATTAGTAGCAGTTCTACTTAAACAGCGTTTTCCCTCTGCTCTTACTACTTCTTGGGCAACAAACTGGAGTAGTGTAGTCTTTCCATCAATACTCATTCGGTTCCCTACTTTCAAAACGGCTTCCAATAGTCTCATGAAGAGTATTTGACCCCTCAGCTCATTGCAAGCATGTTCCAGTGTAAGTAAAGAGTGATTGAGTTGGTGGATCTGTGGTCTGAAATTTAATCTGAAAAGCATGCCATTGAAACGAGAGAGTGCAGATGGAATGGATTTGAGGATATGAAAGAGGAAGGATTTGGAATCAGCTAGCCTTGTCGGTATTCCAGCAAAATTAAGGATTTCTGATTCTTCTTCTCTAGTTGGGGCAATTCTGCACTGCTTCTCCAGAGTTTCTGTATTCAGTCCTTCTCATTTCTTGAGTGCATCAATGATCTCCCTGCGAGTGACCTCAAGGGACTTGAGAATGATTGCTATATCTTGTGACTTTCCGGTCTCGAGAATGAATATCGGTGGGGGACCTGTTGCATTGTTGTCCCCGAAATCAAACTGAAAAGTAAAGTATGAAGAATATTTAATGTCATTTTATGGTGTTCAGCAGAGAGTGTTTTCCCATTTCTAGGGAGAAAATGTATCGAGGAGGATTCCCTTCATTTCTCTCCCATTTGTTAATGAGCACCTCAAATGCTATTAAGGGAAACCAATGACATATTTCATTAAAAACAATGAGTGGGATTATTGCTAGAGTGTGATTACACTTCACAATAGTAGTGCACTAATATTGTTATACTAGTGGACCGATCCATATGACTTATACCATAACTAAGTATGATATGTTAAGTTTGATCCAAAAAAAACTTAGGAAAATGATGCTAGGAAATGGTGGGTAGAAACTAACCTTGATGACCAATCTCTTATCATGGCCAGTAGCAGCAATGCAGAGAACAGATATCACAGCGCCAATAGTATTAGCCAAATGATGAGTAACTATGAAAATGTTAAAAAAAAATCAGCTTTTCAGTAACTATAAGAATCATTTTTCAGCTTTTTTCCTCAAAAAAGATCTAAAAATTGTGATTTACACATAGGTGCTTCTACTTAACCTTAAGTGGTTTACCTTGTTTCCCATTTTGTCCTGGCGTTTTACCTTATTTCCCATTTTTAGTTTCTTCAAATTTAATTAGTTATTTGTTCTAAACTATTATGAATTAGCAATTTGAAATGACTAAATGACAATGACTTAGCTTAACTGACACATGTGATTTCATTAAATGCTCTATTAGTATCATTTTCCGGTTTTCATTAAACTATTCTATGTACTTTTAAAACCTTTGTATAGGAGAGAGCAAGCCAGCAAGTTCATCACAATTCCCCATGGGTCTGGATGGTCTATTTACATTTATACATATAATCTTATAGGATATGAATAACATATAGAAAGTTAAGTGTATCTATCATGTACAATTTGTTATATCTCATTTCTGTGAAGTGTAGATTTGCAGTAATCCACTATGTTGTTCAAGAATAACAACTCTAAACAAGACTTGCCATCACTATTCACATTTTGTTTTGGTCAAATCAGACCCGTAGTACTGCTCACAGTAATATTTATGCCATAAGTCAATATTCATAAACATTTTTGTGCTTGTTATGTGTGTTTTCATATAACAAAACAAATATATGCTACTGTTTCATGTGAACCTTACTCCAATTATGATTATTATAGTCATCTTGGTTGCTTTATTTTCCCACATATATTCTAGCCTATAAATGCTTTATTGTTTATGATTCTTTATCGATAAATAACAAATAAACTATGTATTCAACTGTTGTGTTCATATTACTCATATTTTCACTAAACCTAAACCGAGATATTGTTGTCCCTACAATGGTCTTGGGCATTACCACGAACGCGCAACGCGCGTTATTAAACTAGTTACATCATAAATGTGTGTACCATTAAGAAGCTCAGGGTTGCCTATTATCTAGGAGTACATAACAACTTAATAAAAAAAGAAAAAAAATCTATAAATAGGATTTGAATAGAATATATTTCATCGAAGAGGTATATCATTTTGTTCTCCCGTATATGTTTCATTCACTAATAAAAGAAGCAATATTGAGTTAATGACTACTTGTACTCTGTTTTAAAAACCGATCCGACTCGGCCGGGTTGACACGGAGCCCGGCGACCCAGCAAAAAAACCGGTCTGGTTTGTTCAAAACCCGGAATCAAAAATTGGAAAAACCTGGTCTGAACCCGGACCCAAGAAACCCGAAAATCCTGGGAAAACCAGGTTTTGGGTGTTTTTCCAAAAAAAAAAAAGTAATTTCTTTTTTAATTTTAATGCATTTTTAAATCATTAAAATTGCAATTTGAATACCCTAAAAAGAAAAAATATTTATTTAAGAACGAAAATCATGCCAAATTATAATATAAATGTACAAAAATAACATTATACCGAGTATATTTTTATAGGATCAAAATTATACTTTGAAATATTATGAGAATGTGTTAAATGCTTAATAAGTAGTATTGTTAGTTGCTTATTATAAATAATAACTTCTTTTTAATATAATTTTGTATATAATTATATGTTTATTATTATTATTATTATTATTATTATTATTATTATTATTATTATTATTATTATTATTATTATTATTATTATTATTATTATATAGACATATAATTGTTGACCGGTTTTCCGGCGTTGACCGATTGTCCCACCGGGTCCGGGTTGACCCGTGACCCAGTCACGTGGCCGAGTTGCTCTCCGGTCCGGATTTTTAGACACAGCTTGTATTCCATTTTAAGATCGAGTGGATCATATATTTAGCTCAAAAGTCAAAACGAGGATAATCTTTTTTGTATTTCACGTAGTCTTCTTTTTTACAATGTTTAGTTGGAGTGTATTAGCCTATCTTCTTCGCTAAAAGGGCGGCCTTCCTTCTTGTAGGGTACGGTTTACGATTTCAGTCGATTTCTCACGCGGCTCGGACGATGGAGAACGAAGAAACCAGTATCCAATAGATCAAACCACAAGTACTTCTTACGTACTTTTTCCTAAATTAAATATCTGGTCTAAGAGCCCGTTCGATAATTTACATGCAAAATGATTGCATGAAAAGTTTAGGGTGGTGATTAGTTTGCTTGTAAAATAAAAATACACTATTTGGCTATGTCTGTAATTTATTTTTAAGTTACATGCAAACTATTTAAATAGTTTGTTTGAAAAATAACTTTACGTGCAAAATATTCAGAAACATACCACATAGCCGTTGACCAAAAATACACAGACACATATATACACTACGGATATATAATACGGAGTATAAAATAAACCGGTCTTACTCTCAAATTCACTTTTTTAGATGAACTCCAAACATAATTTAATC